ATGTCCCCACTGGATGCAACAAATGCCTCGTTTATAATGGGTTTTATTGGTTTTGTCTCGTCGCGCTGGGACACAGGGCATCACAGTATGGTAGTGACGTAACATTTCTTTCACACGCTTTTGAGGCATTCGGCCAATCACAACGCACTGGATAGCTGGCCAATCAGAGCACACCTCGCTTTTCAGAACGATGAGCTTTGTAAAAATCGACGTGTTTCAGAAAGGCGGGGCATAGAGGAGCAACAATAATGTATAGTATGTGGAAAATAATGTGTTTTTTAACCTTAAACCGCATAAACACATTGCATTACACCAAATACACAACATAATGTTCTTTTTAGCAACGTCATATGACCCCTTTAACGAAGACTATTTTTAAATCCCTATGGGAAAATTTATGGAAAAAATACTGGAACCTCCATAGTAATAGTGGTCCATTATACAGGTCCATTAAGCTGCGCATCAGAATTATGTTCATTTGCTTTGGACTGATCAACATGTGCAGTCAGAAGAAAACAGAAAAATACTGGCCCATATGGTGCTCTTCTGATACTTCTCAGATTGAGTCACGTTTCGCAGGTCAATTGAATCAAACTCCATGTCCCGGCTTGTGATGTTACAGAGAGCTGTCGGTCGTGCTCTGAGTTTTCTCCTCTGTACTCGAACAGTTCAGCAGAGGACAATAGAGAGGCGAGCGGCAGCAGGGCATGTGCAGCCTCCTCGACAGCTCCTGGAAGACGTTCTTAAAAGTTCCTCTAAGCGCTGAAGAAGAGAAGTAGAATATGAACGGATCGAGGCACGCGTTAAACGTGCTGGTGAGCAGCGCATACACTCGCCAGTCGGGGCTGTAGTTGCCTACATATCCAACCACGTGTGAGATGTTATAGGGCATGAAGCAGATAATGAAGACCAGAAGCGTGCCCAACGCCATCCCGATGGCTCTATACCGCTTCTTGGCGTTGATGTTGGGCAGATTGGAGAGGATGTGGATGAATTTGATGTAGCAGAAGCAGCAGATGAGGAACGGCGTGACGAAGAGCACCGCGAAAAGCTCCAGGCGAACCGGAAGGAGGATCTTGAGCTGTTCAGTGCTGAATTCTTCATAACAGGTGTTACGTTTGGATGGATCGGTGAAGTTGGGGTTCGAATGATCGTGGTATTGCATGATGTAGACGATACTGCAGTGCACCATGGAGATCACCCAGAATATGACGCTGGCTATCACGGCGTTTCGAGGGTTGCATTTGAGCTTGTATTTAATGGGGAAAGCTACACCCAGGTAGCGCTCCACACTGATGGCCGTCAGGTGGAAGGTGCTGTTGTAGATGGTGGAGTAGAAGATGAATCCCGACAGCGGGCAGAGGAAGTAAGGCAGCGTCCATTTCATGTTGGCTGCCTCCACCATGCGAAACGGCAGGAAAAAGAGGAAGATCAGGTCCGAGATGGTTAAACTGAGTAACAGCACGTCTATCGGGGTGGAGCGCTGGCGGATCTTCTGCAAGAAGGTGTAGAAAGCCAAGACGTTGGCGGGAAGGCCTGTGATCAGTGTGAATCCGTAGATCGCTAACACCAGGTTACTGAGACCAACCGTCCACGCCATCGTCAATGATGCAAACCTGTAAAAGAAAAATAAACTAGATAAACTCAGGTTTTACATCTTACATCCAATGTCAAGAGAACCTGTGTGCATTTGAACTGTGCATAGCTGCAAGAACCTTTTTCTGGTTCCATAGATGTTGAAGGTTCTTCATGGAACCATAGATGCTATAACGAACCTTTATTTTTGAAGGATCGAGGTCAAAATATAGCCGCAATAGGCATACTTACAAATGATTCTGGTGTGTGAAGCATTATATTTCCTATTAAAATTCACAAAATTGCATTCTGACACAAATTAAAAACAGTTGAAAGCTGACTGACAAAGTGACAACATAAACACCTTTCCATCATTTTGCACTGATTTGCAGAAAATATTATGACAAGTCTTAAATAAATAAATAAAAATATTATTTTATACGGTAAAATATTGTTTTTGAAGAAGCAAGATTTTTTTGTGTACCTATCCTGTAAATCTGACCAACAAAAGCTTTAGGGCAGTAAAAAAATAGGTCATTTATTAATGCCAATAAAAATGCAGCACAAAACATACAGTATGAGTCTGACTAAACCACACACAGTTGTACGTGACACATTCAGGATGCAGTATGTCTGAGTGAGGGTCAAATTCTAACTAGGTAACGCAGCACAGGACATGCATCATGGAAGCTTTCGAGATAGAGATGTTTCTAATAAATGATTCTGAAAAACACTTGGAGAAGTGAGGAATGAAGTTCTTATGGTTATCATCTGTCAATAAATTAGAAAAAATTTCAAACCAGAAAAAAATATCAGATAAATATCAAACAGTCATTCGTTAGATATACATATTCAAACTAAACCATTTACATTAGGGCTGCATAATAAAAAATGGGAAGAAATGCCTAAACAAATCTTGGTTTAACGTCTGAATTGAGATGTAATACGTGACACATTCAGGATGCAGTATGTCTGAGTGAGGGTCAAATTCTAACTAGGTAACGCAGCACAGGACATGCATCATGGAAGCTTTCGAGACAGAGATGTTTCTAATAAATGATTCTGAAAAACACTTGGAGAAGTGAGGAATGAAGTTCTTATGGTTATCATCTGTCAATAAATTAGAAAAAATTTCAAACCAGAAAAAAATATCAGATAAATATCAAACAGTCATTCGTTAGATATACATATTCAAACTAAAACATTTACATTAGGGCTGCATAATAAAAAATGGGAAAAAAATGCCTAAACAAATCTTGGTTTAACGTCTGAATTGAGATGTAAATATTAATATTGTAATTTTACAGTTGTACTAAAAAAATGATACAAATAATAATTTTATTTTAATCAAATATAATTTTGCTATTGAATACTACATTTTTTATAATTTTATTTTTTATTATAAGTATTATTACAATATATTTCTATATTTTAATCTATTAATAATCACAATAAATAAAACCTGATTAATCAAAAAAAAAATTGAATGGGTGAAAGATATATATTTTTTTTTTTTTTTTTTTTTTTTTTCAAATTCTGTTTAATTTATGGTTGCTGAAAGAGGTCTGAATAAGTGAAAAATATTCTGTGAATATACAGTGTATACTATAGAATATATTGTGAATTTTCCACGTTTTTCTGTTCGGCATTAAAGGATGGTTCGCATTCAGAAATAGTCTTGAGAGTAAAAATTAATATTTTAGCTTTTTAATTTTTATTCTTGAAGATTCACTCCCCAACAAAATCATTCTAGAACGATTCATTATTTCCAATAGCAATTCAAGTCTTCTTGTATATATATATATCCATCTGATCATAAGCAGGTAGCTGTGTTTTTGAACATGGAAGCTCATTTATTTCTCAAAATCTAACCTGACCACTTTAATCTGAAGTTCATAGTGGTTTTTATGATCTGTCAGGTACTAGGGGCCTTTTTTAGGGGTGTTTTCAGCTCCTTTAAGACCCCTCTGTGAACCCTTACTCTAGATATGAGTTAACATACCTTTGAACATTAAAAAATGCTTGTGTTAGCCTTATAAAATGATTTCAGTTAAATAAACTCCCAAAGAATCATGTACCATTTTTAAAGTTGGTGAAGGAATGACACACTACAATCATGAACAAAACGAAACAAAAGAAGCAGAATGATTTCATACCTTAATTAAGTCAGTCCACTGCACAGACTCAGAAGTGACAATATCGCTTTCTCTCACGCATAATGCTTCTTATAATGAGGTCACTGTGACACACACACACACCTATAATGGCACAACAGGAAAGAAGCAATACTTACTTCCTGTTTTACTCATTAAACACACACACGCACACAGATATACATTATAATAATGTATAATAGTAATGTACACACAAATTAATAATCAGTAATCATAAAATATATATTTATACAATATAATAGTACAATATATACATTTTAATGTAGAAATATTTCACAGTTGAAAATTAATTCAGCTTACATGCATTTCATACATTTATATACATAATAATAATAATATATTCCACTCAAAACACAGTTGAAAATTAATTCAGCTGCATTTATTTCACACATTTATATATACACACACACACAATAATAATAATACATATTAATTTATATATATTTAATTTATTTCAGTCAAGACAAAGCTGACATTTCAAACATTATTTATGCACACACACAATAATAATAATAATAACTATTTTAACATATAAATATTCAATTGATATATACTTCACTTACTCGCTCTAGACAGCTGAAAATCAATCTGAAATGTATTTATTTCACAAGACTGTTTTCTGTTGTTTTGACTGTTGTTATGCAGTTGCTAAGGTTCTTTTGGGTGGTTGTTTACTAGCAAAATAAATAAATATCTATATGATACATCAAAGTTTAATATTACAGAGACAGTATTATTTATTTGATAATCTATGATAATAATGCTGTATTATTGTAGCCAATTATTATAGGCAAAATGCCTTTCTCCACTGTAAGGAGAAAGCGTCTGAGACGTGATGGGACGCTCCATTGCTTCGCACATTTCCTCTTTTGCTAAACTCAAGATTGTACAATAGAGGACAACTCCGGATTGTGCAATACTGTACAATGAAACATTTCACACATTCAATATATCTGACTCGTACTTTCACTTCTAACTGGATGTTGTTTTAAGATAAATGTGTTTACATTCATGTTTAGAACTAAGCTATTTCTTTTCAGACCTCCAAGAGATTATGGGTTAACTGTGTTTAGCCTGACAGATGAGAGAAACGACTCTAGCCAAAGGCAAATTCAAGCACAAATTCAAGAAATAGTTCAACAGATCATCATTTACTCACCTTAATGTTATTCCAAACCCATATAACGTTTGTTCTTCTGTGTAAAACCAAAGTTAGGCCGAATGTTTACACTCCTCCATACCGTGAAAGTAAATGAGGACTGAAGCTGTGGAGAATCAACACCATAAATTAACCATAAAAGTAGCTCATATGACTTGTGCTCTACATTCAACTTATGATATGATAGCTTGATGCGAGGAACAGACCTTCATTTAAGTTAATATTCAATTAAAATCATTCCTTCCGTCTGATCTCATTTATGCGTGCACATATTGAAAGGTGTTGTTGTTAATTAAAACAATAACTGGAAAAAATGATCAATTCATTTACTATTTTAGTGATTATTAATATTTTGACTTGGATTTTATTTTTATTTTATTTTTAGCTATTTTGTTAAAATTGCTAAAAATATCAACATTCAAAATATTAATAAACATTAAAATAGTAAATGTATTAAATACATTTATTATTATATAAATGTATTACTACTACTATTTGAGTATTTTTTTATACTTTTAATTCTTTTTTATATTTTTATGATAATTTTCATTTTATTTTTAGCAATTTTGTTACTACTTTACAATAAATCTAACTATGAAAATACTTCTAAAGCATTCATTAATCATATTGTTAATTTCATAATGTACTAATACATTATTAACGTTGTATCTGTTAATATTATTTAATGAAGCTAACATGAACTAACATTGAACTGTTGTATTTTATTAACTAAGGTTTACAAAGATTAATAAATTCTGTAAAAAAAAAAATGTAATGCTCATTGGTAGGTAATGTTGTTGGTTAAAGGGTTAGTTCACCCAAAAATGAAAATTCTGTCATTGATTACTCACCCTCATGCCGTTCCAAACCCGTAAGACCTTCGTTCATCTTCGGAACACAATTTAAGATGTTTCTGATGCATTCCGAGAGCTCTCTGACCCTCCCATAAACATGTGTACCGTATGCAATGTACCGTATTGGCCCGAATATAAGACGACCCTGATTATAAGACGACCCCACTTTTTCCAGATGTACCTTTTGGAAAAAAGCTTTTTAAAAACCAAATCTTGTTTTATCTCAGTAAAACACATTTTGTGTTCAATTATTTTCATATTGCATACTTTTCCTATTTTAATTTTTGTTTTGAAAGTATGGTAAAAACTGGTAAAATGTACCAACAATCACATTTAAAAAATATACACTTTTTGATATACCATTAAAAAAACAAAACAGGTAGCCCATCTGAATTAGGACATTTAGGCTATCCATCTATATTGACATGTCAAAGTCTAGACCCTGAATATAAGACGACCGCGTTTTTTCAGATGTATTTCCAAGAAAAAAACGTCGTCTTATATTTGGGTCAATACGGTAAGTAACACGATCAAGGTCCAGAAACGTAGCAAGGAGATCGGTAAAATAATCCATGAGACATCAGTGGTTCAACCGTAATGTTATAAAGCCACGAGAATACTTTTTGTGCACATAGAAAACAAAAATAACGACTTTATTCAACAATTCTTCTCCTCCTCATCCCGTCTGCAGCTTGCTTCCGGTTCATGTAAACCATGCATGCGCATGTCGCTGTTGCTTACGTTAACACGCACATGCGTTGTTACATAAAGCGGAAGCAAGCGTATGCGTCATGATACTCTCCACAATGGCGGCGCACTGCTGCAGACGGGATGAGGAGGAGAAGAATTGTTGAATAAAGTCGTTATTTTTGTTTTCTATGTGCACAAAAAGTATTCTCGTAGCTTCGTAAAATTATTACGGTTGAACCCCTGATGTCGCATGGACTATTTTACCGATTTGTCCTTGCTACGTTTCTGGACCTGGGAACATTGCAGTTGTGTTGCTGTCTATGGAGGGTCTCTCAAGAGAGCTCTCGGATTTCATCAAAAATATCTTAATTTGTGTTCTGAAGATGAACGAAGGTGTTACGGGTTTGGAACGACATGAGGGTGAGTAATTAATGACAGAATTTTAATTTTTGGGTGAACTAACCCTTTAACACCACTATTCTTTGAAATTATTAACACTTTTTTTAAAACTATCATAATAGTTACTGTACTTGAAGTAAACGGGTCTTTACAATAAAAAATGACAACAAAAAAAACCCTTAAGGTCTGTTCACACCAAGAGCTATAACTATAAAGATAATTATAAGAATAGCTATATTAGCCTCCACACTAAGGCACAATAACGTTCTGTTTATTATAAATGCACGGTAGACTTGCATTTACAATACTGCACCATCCAAAACCACCCTAGCAACCACTTAGTAACACTCTAGCAATCCGCAACATGCTAACAAACACTCATAACACCATAGCAACTGCTTAGCAACACCTTAGCACCCACTCAGAATGACAGCCACGGCACATTTTGCTTGGGGAAGCACCACTCTTAGCAACTTCACAAAATGTTCCCTTAGTTCTTTCCATTTACATAAGACAAAACCGTTACTATTTCCTTCATCTGGTGATGAGTAGATAACACACTGAGCATTTTAACAGAGCTGAGCACAGTGTTATTACTCGTATATTGCCGCTATGAGACATGTTTGTGGTTTTAACATGAAAAAAAAAACATCTGATGAAAAATCTATATTGGTCTGAATACAGGAATGCAGACTTTCAAAACTTTATCTGATCTGTGTGGTTAATTTAAAGGTTTCTTGAGGCATTTTTTTTCACAATGACTCATTTATAGCACCATCTTGTGGCCTCATTTAATATAAAAAAAAAAACTGTGTAAAAATAAATAAATGATTAAAAATAAAATTAAAAAATAAATAAATGCACATTTTGATTAAAATAAATAAATAATAAAAATATATTACAATAAATAAACAATTATAGAAACAATTGAAACATATTTCCACAATATTTTATGTTCTTAATATTAATTTTTCACAGTATAAATTGGGTCTTTATACATGAAAATATATAGCTGTGTCTGATTATAAGGACATTTTTGTTTAATTTTGAATAATTCTGTACTATGTTGAGTCACCTACCAGGTAAGACCATGTCAATTTGCTCTTAAAGGTATAGTTCACCTAAAAATATAAATTCTGTCAATATTTACTCACCTTCATGTCTTTCCAAACATTTATGACCTTCTATCTTCTGTGGAACACAAACTATATTTTAAGAACATCCAGACAACATTGGACCCCATTGAGTTTCCTAGTATAGACTAAAACAGACATTTTTAAATCTTTGTGTTTTACAGAAACAAATCAAGAAGAAGAAATCAAACAAGTTTACGTGTTAAAGGGGTCATAGGATGTCCATTTTCCACAAGTTGATATGATTCTTTAGGGTCTTAATGAAAAGTCTGTAACATAGTTTGGTTAAAATTTCTCAATGGTAGTGTAAAAAACACCTTTTTTACCCGGTCAAAAACAGCTCTTTTCAGATCAAGCCGTTTTTGTAGCATTTTCCTTTAAATGTTAATGAGCTCTGCTGCCCCCGCCCCTCTCTTCCGAGCTGCTCTCAGAGAGACTGTTTACTTTAGCCGCATTCATCGTGAAACTTGCTAATTAGCACATTAGCACATAGGAAAGGCGATTTGCAAAGATTCATTACAAAACATTATACTCACTTCTTCTGTAGGTGAAGCTGGATCATGAATGATTCGCGCGAACATAGACGCGTTTATGTAGATCGGGGGAGCATTCCCTTCAGAGACAATGTAATATTACATCCAACAACAGAACACCTCAATCGCTTAGGAGTCATTCTTGTCTACATCTGCTCCAGCAGTGAAACAATGGCGGACTGATGACAGCTCACTCAGGGCGGGTCTGAGGTAAGACGCCAGTCCAGTCTGTGCTGAAACGCTACTGTCAATCAAACTATCGTGGGAGGGGCC